CGATCTGTTGCCGGACACGAAAAAAGACAAAAAAAAAAAAAAAAAAGACAATACAGAATAGTTTTAATTAAATGAAAATAAATCAGAGTATTTGATTAGTATACTAGACATTGAATTGTCTATTACTGGACATTTTCTTGAATATGTACATTGTTTATTAATTTTTAAGAAATAATGTGGTTTCAACATAATTTTTTCCCAAGATGTGAAGACTTTTCAAAATACAGATTGGATTTTATGATTCTCATAAAAAGTTTTTCTCAAAGTGGGTCAACTGCTTTATGTATATAATAATATAGATTATTGAAAATGACCATTGAGATAATCATTCCTGTTGGAAACTGGACCAGAGATTGTCACAATTAATGCTATGTCGGCAAAGATTTAACCCTTACTGGCAGGGCCTCTAGTTTTATCGTAGCATGCTAGAGGGAAAAAAAAAACTTGAAGTAATTAATATAGACACTTCAAAGGAAGTTCAGATATTACATATATCAGTGCCGTGCTTACAAGCTGCACACCCAGAGGAAAGAGCTCTTTTGCATACACCTGGCCCCATGTAGCCCAGAGAGGCTTTTCCTACAACCTTATAAAATCCCAGTGTTTAGACTCACCTAGTAGTCAAAAATCCAATGTTCTTCTGTTACTTCATGTTTCTTTTCTTCAATAGTTCTTTTACTATTCACAGTGCCAGGAGCAAAGTAATGAATTTCATGTTGTCTGAAGTTCTCCTCTTGTATTTTTAAAGAATCTGAAATACTTTTCAATTTGTTAATATAGTCCTTTAGGAAGACACTGATGAACTAAAAATGTGTGATTCTCTTGGGGACCATGACTGAAGTTCCATATAAATCTTATTAACCCGAAATAATGAGTGTTGTGTAGTCCTGGCACTAATACTTCATATCTCATGCTCCTGCTTTGGGCTGTTGCCTTTTATAGACCTTTCCATGGTGTTTCACTTGAAAAGTCCCACTGGTCCTCCTCAACTAGGGAAACCACCGGGTAGTGTCCAGTGCAGTCTATTTGCTGTTCTATATCAGTCCAGAAGGAATACATCTATGTGTTCTAAATTCTATAACAAGGTGAAGTTTGAGCTTGTATGTATTACCAAGGGTGTCAAAAATATTGGATCTAATGATTTTTGCTTACTATCTCTATAGTGCTGCTTAGTATATTTTCTCTGAGGATGGAAATTCTGCATTTTGATTTAAAATATCTTTTAAACTTGAGTTTGTGTGATATAGACACAAACTTTTTTGTAGTGCTTCTTCCAGTGTCCTATTTGTGATAAATATTACAATTCCTAAAAACTAAATGCACTTGAAATTAAAGACAAACATGAAGTCAAGATAGTATAATTACCACAAGACCAAAGACACTGTTTTTCAAATAAGCACTGTAATTAATGTATTTTCTAACAGATTTTCTTGTATTCTCTGGCCCTAGTTCTTTCAAATATAAAATGAAGAGGCTGAATCTTATGATTCCTGAGAAATGTTCATCACTAAACTGGGTTTATTGCTTTCATCCATGATTATTGATCAAATGCAAATGTGTGTCAGAGACTCTCTCAAGTAATTTGAATATTATATTAAATCCCATTTATATTCTGAAGTTAGGTACTGTTGTAATTACCTGATTATATATGATGTATGTATACACATATTTATTTTATATATGTACTATATATATACATATACATGTATAATATATGTATATGTGT